ACAAGCCTGTGTGCCATTGGGGGTGGATTTGACCCTCCAGACACCGTCACTACTCCGCACTCCCTGGGAAGGGTGAGAAGTCTACTTTAGTTCCATGCAGCTGCCTCGGTTTCCACAATCCCAGGAAAATAAGTGATTTCCCCACCCCTTGAACGCTATTCTAACGAGGGTAAGAGGCTCAAAGTGCTTTCTGTGCGAGGTCCAGTCTGAGTCCCCCTCACCTCTGCACTGAGCACATCCTGGAGGTACGGGTTCTTGGGACAGAGCTCCTCTTTGTGCGTGGTCAGCTTCCCCTGCCTGGCAGAGTTGGAGATGGCGCATGGGACACTTTTCTTGGGCTCTCCAGTTCTCTGTGGGCACCTCCCCCCAACACAGCACAGGTACACACCATGCGATTGCAGCATCTAGTTGTTTGTCCCTGTAGAGTCCACCTTCCTGCTGTAGGGAGCTCAGGCTACCTGCACAGACAAGGCCCTCACTGTCACCCCTCACAGGATCCCACCATCCTCCCTCCGGTATCTTGGCTGCTCCAAAAAACTTTATTAGATTTGCGTGACTGCAGCCTGCGGGGTGCGCCGGGAGCCTATCCCACAGAGTTCTCGGGAGGGATACAAGTGTCCTCCTGCGTCCCCTTGAGGGGTGGCCTGCGGGGGTTGGCTCTCCAGTGGGCTCTGCATCTTTGGTCAATGTGGCCGTAGGGTCTTGCAGCAAAGGATGCAGAAGGGGCAAACTAAGCACCTCTAACGCCCGCTTCCACCTCACCCTTCAGATCCATGATGATGAGTCGCGGCGTGTAGGTGTCCTGGCCATGCAGGGTCCGTCCCGTCCGGTACAGGACGTCGGCGCACAACTCTGCTGGCGCCTCCTTGGCATCCGTCGGGCGGCCCAGAGCAGCATCCTGAGGCGGCAGAAGGAGGTTGGGGCTCTAGGCTGAAACTCAGGGCTTAAAATCACGAAAAGATCGTCAGGAGCTGCCGGGGCGCCGGGAAAGCTTACCTGCTGGTTCCACCAGTGAGCTCCCACGAAACCAGCAAAATGTCCCAACTGCAGCGTAAGCACCTCTCGAGCCCCGCCAGCCATACCGCCCGGCTCGGCTCGGCTCGGCTCGGCCAAACCGCCCCGCCCCGCGCGGACTGCAGCTCGCCGATTGGCTCGACAAGCTTGTGGGCGGAGTCCCAGTAACTGCACCCTATTGGTCCGCATACATATCCTTTTCCGAAGGACAAATGATTCGTTGAGTCAAGAAACACCACCCACTGGTCCCGCCCCTCTCGGACCGGATTAGACCGGCTTCTACGCGTGGGGGCTAGGGGTGGGGCCACACACCTCACGCCGGAAGTCGCGTACCCCTGAGCTAGCGCGTCCGCTGGTGTCGCGCACGGTTCTGTCCTCTTGGCGTCCCACGTGGGCAGTGTGGGCGCTGCTCTCTGGAGACGGTCCTATTTCTTTTGAGGCTCTTGTATTTTGATAAAAAGACGCCATTCTTCTCTAGTAATATGTATCCGTTGGCAAAGAGGAAGAGTTTGAAAACTGCTCACAAACCTTCCTCTCCCCGCAATCACAGTCACCACGCTGATTAACCTTGTCGATTGGAAATCCCCCAGCCCTAAATAAAGAAGTCGCAGTGTGTGTTGTTTTTGCATCTGGCTTATTAGGTACTCAATATCGTTCGTAAAATTCATCCCTATTCTTTTCCATACCTAAGAGTTCGTTTCCATTGCTTCAGAGTGAATAGACCAGGTTGTTAAGGCTTTGGGCGTCTTTTCTAGTCCGGGCTATTTTGAGATGTTACAATTAACACGTGCAGCTGCATAGTTTTGTCAGCAAGGAAACTGGTATCCAACACTTGGGTGTTCAAACTTAGTACCTAATAGCAAGTTACTTTCCACAGGTGACTTTTGAGTTATTGTGAGCTTCAAATACCTTCAGCGTTATTTTGCTACTTTTTGGGACACCCATCTTTCGTGGGCAAGGGTGCCAGGCAGCTTCGTTTCCCATTTGATAGTTGCAGGACACGTAACTGGGCCGGGTCTGGACCGTGCAGCCCCTTGCCCCAGCCTCTCAGAAAGAGGGTGATCTGCTGGGCTTGGCAGTCCCTGCCTCCAGCATTCCAAGAAGTTTCTCTCTCTGGGCAGGGACCACACGGCTCCTTGCACGCACACACACACACACACACACACACACACACCGCCTCTCAAGGCCAGGGCTGGACTGTGCAGCCTCTTCCCCCACATTCCAAGAAGCTGGTCTGAGAAGGACTCGGACTCTGCAGCTGCAGCACCAGGAAGCCTCCCTTCTCATTGGCACAAGCACCAGCAGCTCTCTCCACCTCATTTGCATATTCCCCTGACCCACAGCCTACAAATATCCCACTGCCCCACCGTCTGGTACGATTTCCCTGACTTAACTTACTGGGTCTCGGAACCTGCCCAGGAACTCAAGATGCTCCTGTCCCTCTCTCTGCTCTCCCTTTCCTCCCGGGAGCGCTTTCCCTGCCCGAATAAAGCCGCTCTTCACCTCCCGTTCTTTGTCTCAATCCTGTCTCACTGTTGACCTCTCAGTAGTAACCCCAGGACGTCAGTTGCTGTCTCAGTAATATGGCCCTGCCCGTGCTCAGCCTTTTCCTGTCCTATTGTCCACCCCTTCCTGCCCTCTCATCTTTGCTTTGGGGCTAAGGTCCTTTTTGATTTGCACAATTGATCATTCTTTTTTTTTTTTTTTCAATTGATCATTCTAAAGTGCACATTCTTCTCCTGTGCTGCTCATGGCTTTGTAAGCCTGTACGTTAGGCATTGACCTGCTAACCACAAGGTCCCTGGTTCAAAGTCACTAGATGCTCCCTTGGAGAAAAAACGAAGCTGTCTACTCGCATATACACTTAGTTTCATGAATCCCATACAGGGTCAGGATGAGTCCGAATCCATTCGATGGTCTTGGGTTTAGACTGGTTTGTTTTGTCTATCGTTAAGCTAACAGGTGGCCTCTGAAAATGGCTACCATTCCAAGTCAGAAGGGCATCTTAGGTCCATGGTTCCCGGGTTTCCTCCAGTCTCTGTTGACCAGTCAGTCTGTTCTTTCGGTGAATTGTACTTTTTGTTCCACCGCTTTCTCCACTCTGTCCACGGCCCTCCGTTGTGATTCTAGTCAGAGCAGTGGTGTTGGCAGGCCGGCACCATCTCGTTCTCCTGGTCTCAGGGTCACTGTAGGCTGTGCTTCACACGTTCCATTAGTCCTCTTGAGTCTTTGGCTCTCCGTGTTCCTTTGCAATCTAGTTGTAGCTTAGATTGTGGGAAACTAACACTGAAGGAAATATCATGAAGACTATATTTCCTAACTTATGACAGAGGGAATCTGGAAAGCTGGTATTCCATGGTAGGACAGCCTCCACTTTGGTAAGTTAGAGGTAAAGTCCAAGTACACTATCCTGCTTTAGAAATCATTCCCTGAGGGGCCGGCCCCAATCCCAACTACTACGTAAACACCTGCCCCTCTCCCCAGAAGAATTTATTTCGAAGGAAGGCACTGAATCTGCTGCTGCAGGAGAGGGACATATCTATGGAGCACAGGAAGCAGATGAAGGGGGAGGAAGAGAGAGTGGAGCACACCTGGCCTTGAGGACGATGTTCCTGATTAGAGCAGCCAGTCCACAGAGAGGACCACATGGCGGCCCCACTATGAGACATGAACATCCCTCACTGACCCATAGCCCTACAGGGGACATCACTGGAGACACACTATGGGAATTGCACCCGATCTGACCCCGCCACACGGAAGCAAAACACTAAAGGGGTGCAACAGAACAGCAAGGGAACGGAGTGGCGAGGTCCCCAGGGAATGCTGATGGTGGACTTTGGGGCCAGGGCATGGTGCCCCAACAGACTGGACTGGAAAACACTCCTTGCTCCATCGAATAAAGACTGGGTTTTCTACTC